CTGCGTTGTGGCCGCAGCAACCTCGGTTCGAATCCGAGTCACGGCAGCGTCCTTCGTCTGGGCCGTCAGCTCCCTTTTGTTCCCCTAACCAAGCAAGTCAGGGGAAGGAAAAGAGACCTCAAGCAGTCACGGACAGGGCGACCTCTGTGCAGATGAGGCGGCGTAAGGGCTGCTGCTCCGCCACCGGCTGTTCCGCCACGAAGGCGCTCCTAGGCTGTGGGAGCGAGTTCAGGACCGCTGGTCTGACGTGGGAGTCCCAGCTGTGTGTCTGGGCGAGGAGGGAGGGGGTGCGCAGGACAAGTGACCGTGTTTGTAAAGGGTGAGGCGTAAGAGGCTGTGGCGGGGCGGAGGTGTAGAAAATCTTACCTGGCAGGGGAGACACTATGGTCAGGAATGTGGTTTTCCCAGGGTGAGCCTCACCAAGTGGACTCCTGATGTGCTGACTCCTGCGATTTTCCCCAAATGTGGGAAAATCACAATTTGTGGTAGTGGTGCCTGTGTTCGCGCTTTCCCCTGGATTCTTGCAGTGTAGAAAGCACACTGTACGCAACAGACTACTCTTAGTTTCTACCGGGTTACACCCTGTACGGGATCCCAAGTGTTCTTCTTGTAGGCAGGAGACTATAAAATAGGAAGTAACGCGTTGCTGTCCTTACTGCCGGAAACGTTGGAAGCCTCAGTCCTGGTGAGATTGTTTAACAAAAGCTATGTAACGCGGTGGCCACAGAGCTCTTCCCTTTCCATGTGGGGCTGCTTTGGGCAGAGATCGGTCCATGGTCTCCAGCCTCTTGGGTTCTCACGCTTTGTGAAAATCTTCGTGTTTTTCCGCAGCCTCTGGAGTTACCTTTCACACAGCCTCTGCTTCTAACCGCAGCCCCCACAGGCCTTTATAGGATTTCTGTGCCGAGGGAATGTATTCCCACCTCATAGAACCAGATAGAAACTGTACACAGATGGAGTCTGTTGTTTGGGATGAAAGCGTGCTCTAGGGCTCTCAGTGTCCCCATTCCGTGGTAGACATAACACGCTTACTTTGTGGAGGGGAACGGCTCTCCCAGCGGCCAGGTGCCCTTCCTCATATTCACCGAGGCCCGCGGGTCACAACCGCAGTCGCAGCTGTCTGCAGAATGCGCTGCCATCTACCCCAACTACCCGAGCCACCCAGCAATAAAATGAGACGCATTACAGAAACATGAGATCGCATGAATAATCTCAAAAACATTATGCTGAGTGATGAAAACAGTGCATCCTGTGTGGCACCATGATGGTGAATTTCTAGAACAGGTCAAACTGATCTGTATAGTGACAGAAACTCCAACGATTGCTGGGATCAAGGAAGTGGGGGACTGACTGCAAAGGGCATAAGAGGACCTTGGAGTAACAGACATGCACTATACCATATTCAACTCACACTTTAATCAATCTGATTGTAAAAAGTCATAAGAAAACCCTCCAAAACTTAATGTCTTTTACTTAATTTATTGTATGTTTAGCGTTAGAAGATTTGTTTAGAAACGCGTCTAACTGTGATAGGGAGTTCAGGAATTCCTTCATTTCTGTTCTCTTTGTCTGCAGTTAAGTTCATGCACTGTAAAATGGAATATTTGTAAAATAGAGTCTAAGCTTAATTTTATAAGAGCATATATATACGCTTATATATATATTCCGAGAACATATGTGTTATATATAACACACATACATATATATCCTTCTTTATCGTTTTTTTGTTTGTTCGTTTGTCTGACCTGGAGGGGACAGTCCAGCTACAATATACATTCTTCTCTCCGTAGATATAGCTGAGGAACACAACTCCATCACTGTTGCCCTACTATTAGGAAAAGTTATTCTCGAACTTAAGCTAATCAAAAATTGCACATATTACTACATTTTATGTACTGTTAGTATAGTCTATGCTTAGCATGTATAATTGTTCTTTAAAAAGACAATAGCTTAAAAATGATTCGGAAGAAAAGTATGTACGGATGTTAACAGTAATTAATTCCAGGTGGTTGAATATGGATGGCCAGTTATCTACCTCTTCATGGTTTTTAAAAATATTTTCAAATGGAAAATCCTCAAT